ACGAATTCTCGCCTACAAGTGTAATTTCGGCCACTTACGCGGCCACTTTTTAAGGAGATCGATGAATCGGAGGGAAGGGATCAAGTGAAGTAGCGAGAAAAATGACGAATGCCCCCCCGAAATCCGAGAATGCGATCGCAAGAAATTGCAAGGACGATTTATACCTTTCCTTTTCGTATAAACACATACATTCCCCCATTCCTTTCTTCTCGACGAATCGTGGCCCGCTAATGGAACGAGAGGAACGCGCCACGACTGTGTGGAAATTTTTCTGGAACACCGCCAAAGTTCTTTGATTAAAAGAAGGATTATTGTTTCGCTTCCGCTCGGATAATATTCCCCTCGGATTTTCGGATTTTCGGAAAGAGACATGTACAGGTATTAAATAACAGTTAGGATTCGTTAAAAACAGGCTTCCTTGATACTTGGAACGAAAATTAAGGCGTAATTCGATCGAGTTCCCGGAAAATGTATGTCATCCTCTCGCGGCCGTCTCCGGGTAAAAAATCAGATTATTCGCGCGTAATAAGGGTTACGGGCTTTATAGAGCGTGCTATGTGTACCAAGGGTGTGTCTAGTTCGCGCCATAGTTTCCCCCCTTCGACATCACAGTCTCGTTAATTTTATTCTCGTCTCGTCGTTGTCTCTGTGCCAGCCAAGGACTAAAAACTTTTCATCCAGAAACCGATGAGAAACAAAATAAATCTTTAGAATAGCTCGTAACAACCTAGATCCTCCGTCACTGTGACTTTTTAAAAAGTCGCTAATTGAAAGAGTGCGCTTCTTGAAACTAATTAAAGCAAAAATAATAATAATAATAATAATAATAATAATAATAATAATAAAAGATCGTGAAATTGCTTACTCCAAGTACGCGTTAACGTGGCTAAAAGTTCTGGCGGAAAAGACAAAAATAGGCGGGGAGGGAGAAAGGGATCAACGATCGAGAAATCGTATTGCATTGAACACGAGTAATATTTCAACGTTTCAATGGTAATCCATTGAAATTGCGATGAATCGAAGCAAGGCTAAGCTGTAAACATATCGATCGCGCTGAGATGCAGCCAGGCTTTGTAACACCGGGAAGAATGCATAACAAGAATACAAAGCGAATACTTACGAAACGGATCGTTGTTCCAAGATTTATAGAGCAACGCGAAGCATTAATTTTTCTCCTCTATCGCGCTTCGAACGTTCTCGTAACCTCTTTTCCATTTTAAGTGCATTTTGCTCCTTCCCCCCTCTCGCCCTCCCCCCACCCCTTCTCAGCCGCCAACTCTGAAATAATTCACTTCCACTCTCTTCGATCGGTAAAATCGGTATTCCACTTGGTGGGCACGTAATATCGAAAGGCCAAACGTTCGGAATCGACTTATCAACGGCCGTTCTCGCGCCGTTTTCTCCTCGATCTCGATCCCCGGCCCAAAGTGGCCGCGCAGCAAGTAGTCTTCGAGGGCGACCCAACTTGTACGAATCCTAATGAAAATTCATCGCGTCGAGTGGCCCTCGTTTTCGAAAAACCGATATGTAGAGGATCCGGATCTCAACGCGGACCGATTTTGTCGCCTCCGAGGCGGCATTACTATTCCTCCCTTGGTGGGCGCAGTATCCGTAACGATTACTCATCTTTCGAAAGAATAGCCGTGGAATTCCGACGATCGTGACGCACAAAGAACGGACACGGAAACCCGATAATAATATAGGATCGTGACGTGCTCGCAAGAATTGTTCCGATTGGCAATAAACGTTCGATGAATCATGTAACCCGATGTTTGACACGTTATTTAAAACACACTCTGCGCGTATCCCGTGTTTTCCAACTTGAAATTGAAAAATATGGATAAAAGTGTGCGATTATTGGAAATCTAATTGATTCGATTTAATAACCTGATTTAAAAAGAAAAATAAAAAATAAAAAAAAAAAAAAGGTACAAGAAACTACCGTTAAATGACAAGTTTTAAAGAGAAAACTGGTCCGGTGTTTCGAAACTACTCGACACTCGTTTTTACTTCCTTTTATAATATTTATGCAAGAATTTTTCAGGATAGATTCGACAGATACAG